ATGGGCACTCCTCATGCAAATCGGAGTATGGCGGACTGATTCCCCAGCTTATATAGGTTGGGGACAGTGCTTTGGTCAGCCCATGGGCCTCCCCATGTGCCCCATGGTGAACCGAGGTACCCCCTATGGCCAATTTTCACTACTAGGTATCTCCGAGGGCACCTGGGCCTCATTTTGGCCTGATACATGCAGTCCGAGTGGTTGGTACCAACTCGGACTGCCCCTTGGGCCTCTTTCAAGCTTCATGCCCCTTAAAAAATGTTGCCCCCTTGAGTCCAAGGCCCAAGGGATAACCTACTTGAAAGAAAAAGGCCTTGTAGGCCTTTTTTTCGACTTTTTCTGATTTTGGCCTCCCTTGGGTAGGCCGGGACATTTTTCCATGTGGCGGTGCATTCTCAGCCTTGGATCAGGCTAAGATCCAAGGCCAGCATTATTCCGAGCTACCCCATGGTGGTCCTTGCTTCAGTTTTGGGCCCCAAAGCCCACATTTTCAATTTTTGGTGCATCTGCTCCTTTGTTTGGGCCAAATGCACAGTTTTGTCTTTTTCTACCTTTTATTTCTTTCCATTTTGGGCTGCCAACTCATTCCGGAGTTGGCCGTTTGTGGTGACCTCATCAAAAATGGCCATATTATCTCCTCAATGAATCTAAATCTCAGATTCATGGTCCAGAAGAAAACCGGTCATTTTCCTTCTGCATTTTCTCTTATTTTCTTCTTTTTAATTCAGATATTGTGGAGATATGGCCCCAAGGGTCATATCTCTGCAATCCAGATTGCCCTCCCTCATTCTAGGAGGGATGAGGTCATCATTGAGACCTGCCAGTCTGTACTGCAGCAGTCCCAATAGGCCGACACATTTTCCTCCACCTTTTTCTCCCGTTTTGTCTCATTCTTCCTCTATTTTCTCCCTTTTTTTCTTTTCTTTTTCTTTTATTTTTGCTGTAACAAGTGCCAAGCAGTTGTGCACCCTCTTTCTAGGCCTTGGAACCTCATTCATGGCCAGGTTCATGGCCGGCTGTTGGCCGTTACATCTCGGACTTCAATAATGGTCCGCCCCATGCTCCTAAGGGGCTCATTTCGCTGCCGTTAATCTCAATTTTGAGCCCCCTTGGCTCCGATTTTCTTTTGACAGCCTTTTCTCGGCACGGGGCCCCTTGGAACTTTATTTTCTCATGCCTAGCTGGTCCGAGATATCCCGGACTGCTGGGCAGCCCTCCCATCTCTTGTTTTTCTTTTCTTTTCACCGCTAGTTCTCCCACTTGGGCTCCACTAGTGCTTGCACTAGTGGTGCTAATATTTTCCACCGTCAAGATCTTTGATCTTTACGGTGTCGTTGGCCTCGTGCATCCACTCCCCCTATTGGCTTGTGGTTTCCCCTTGGGACACCTCAAGTCCTCGCCACTTTCCCGTGCTAGTCCCATTTTTTCTGTCCCGCTGGCGGCACCGTCGACAAAATCCCAATTTCCGACAATTTTTTTATTAGGACTCGTTTAGTCCCCGGTGTCGCTCCGGTTGGCGTTCCATTTTTATTTGGGACTCCCCTTGTCCCCGACAGTCCCAAACCATTCTTCCCATGTATCTAGCATGCTGATTATTTCCGGTCGTGAGACCCCCACCTTGTCGTCACCATTTACCGTCACCGTCCCCTAGACCTACGACAACGTTTTCTAGCTCTTTGGGGCATGCCGCGACTCATTTTCTCTTGGCCTAGGCATCCCCAGGCAGTCCATTATTTCTCGGACTGCAATGGTGCTCAATTTCCTAGTCCTACAACCCCATAACTTGCCCCCAACTGAAAGAAAATGAAGCGTCCAACTTTTGAGTGCATCCGGGCTCAATATTGGCCTCGGATGCACCTTAAACTTATATTTTCCCTTCCCCATGCATTCCGTTGCAACTCGGACTGCAGTAGGGGGCATTTTCCTAGTCCCACTGCCCCACAACTAGCCTCAAACTAGAAGAAAAGAAAACGGTCAATTCCCAAGTGCCTCCGGTTTCCATTTTGGCTCCCGGTGCACCTAAAACATGTGTTTGGCCTACCTCATGCAATCCGTTGTATCTCGGTTGCATGAGGGCTTGATTTTTCTTGATTTTTTCTGCAAAATCAAGAGAAAATCAAGATACTTTGTAACCGACATATGCCAGAATGAATCTGGTCACAAATGCATCCCCTAGGTGGCCGTTTTTGGTTGTTAGTGCCCTTTTGACTTTTTTTTTCTTTCCTCTTTTTTTCTTTTCTTTTTCCCTCCACTTGTGGACAGTAGGGACTTGCCAGTCCCTACTTGCTGCAGTCCCTACTGACGGCTAACTCACTCATTCCCTCTCACCTCCCATTTTCTTTTTCTTTTTCTTTTCCTTTTTCTTTTTCTTTTTTCTTTTGCATGCTAAGTGTCAACTAGCCGTTAAGGCCCTTTTCTAGGCTCTTCCTCTTAGTTTTGGCCCTTCCCAAAGGGTCAGTCCGTTATTTCTCGGACTGCACTTGTGGCCTTCCCATACCCATGAGAGCCTCCGTTTGCCTCTATCCCTTCCAAATGGTAGACCCTCATACTCTGATTTTCTCCCGGAGGTCCATTTCTCTCATGGAGTCTCCTTTGACACCATTTTCTTGGGGGAGGTCAATCCGAGATTTTTCTGATTGCTCCCATGCCTCTCATCACATGTTTCTTCGCTTTTTCTTTTCCTTTTGGCCTTCCTGTTTGCTCCCACTAGTGCTTATGCTAGTGGCGCTAATATTCTTGGTCGTCAAAATCTTTGATTTTGACGGTGTCCCTTGCTTTATTTATTTGCACCTCCCGTCACACCACAATTGTTCCTGGCCTCCACAACTCCCCGCCGCTTGTCCGTGCCAGTCCCGACACTAGTCCCGCTAGTGGTCCTGCCAGTACTAGTCCCGCCGATGGTCCTGCCGGTACTTGTCCCGTTGGTGGTCCCGCCGGTGGTCCGACACTTTGTCTTCCTCACGGTGGTTCCCGACACTTTGTTCCGCCGGTGGTCCCCGACACTTTGTCCCGTCGGTGGTCCCCGACACTTTGTCCCGTTAATGGTCCCGGATTCCCTTGACGTTTTCCCCCCCCTACGGTGGCCTCATTTCCTTTGTCTTCCTCACGTTCCGTATGCCAATCCTTCCGGTTGTGGCTCTTTACTTAGCCCATGGTCCCTTGGCCTTCTTGACGCCGCATCGCGGTGACCCTTCTCCCTTGTCTTTCTTGCGCCTTGCGCGCGTCGGTCCCTTTGGTCGCGGGGCCTCTATCCCGAGGCTCTTGTAGGCGGCCCCCGTGTTGGCCCCTTATTCTCTAGCTTCCCACGGCCTCCGGGGCCATCCATCTCTCGACTTTTTCATTCCTTTGTTGCCGCCGTGCCGTTTTTGTCGGTTCAACGGCCCTTCGGTCTTAGTTTCGTTGAATTCCAACGGCCCTCCTGCCCTCACGTTGTGTGCTATGTGCCCCCGTTCTTGCGCTTACTCGCTTCTCACCGCTGGTTATTTCCTCCTGTGGCTCTCGCCTCAGGGCATCACTCCCTCCTGCGGCCTAATCCTTTGTCTTTTCACACCCCTCTATTCTCTTGCCATGTGGCTGTATTGGCCGTTATCACTTCAGAGAGGCGAACCATTTATGCTTTAACCTTCCTTGTTTTAGTTGTTTCGACGCCAAAACTACCAAATCAATATGTTGCTTCCCCTTTCTTATGCGTAAATCTCACGTATCCACATCGCCCCATGCAACCTGTTGTCTTTCATTTTAGTTAGTTGTCGATCCCAATTCAATCCCCTTTGCCCTCTACTCTTTTGGTAGTAACCCCAGTAGTAGATACTTCATGATTCCGAATCTTTACAACATGATAGAGCAAATTACTTATCTCATTTGTCGTTTCGCCCGTGCGTGTCCTCCGGTTATAATCGCCCGTAGTTTGCCGCTCCTCCTAGTGTTTTGCCAACGCTAGTTTGTCGTTTAGCCCATGCGTGTCATCCAGTTATGATCCCCTGTAGTTTGTCGCCCCTCCTATCATTTTACCAACGCTAGTATTCGGATCTCGCCCTCGAGCGGGAATGCCTTCACCCCCACGAGCCTGTCGCGGCGATGCTTAGCATCCAACAATCAACTAAGCGAACTATCTTTCTTCCACCCCCCTTCCTTTCCCTAACCACGTGGAGGGTGATTCCTCGTGGAGGAAGGACGTTGCCACGTGGAGGGCAGATCCACGTGGACAGGAGGCCGCACACTGGGAGCGCCACAAGCTATGCCACCAATGCCCGCGATTCTTTTTCGCGCCTAATGGCACGCGCGCTTCTGCACCGGTGCCCTGACCACGTATGCTCACCTTGGGCAGATCTGCTCGGGTTGGCAGTTGAAGCAAACAGATTTCGTCAGCCCCGTTAGCGAGCCCCCAACGCCCGAACACCGCCACTGAGCAGCGACCCGTTTTCGCAGCGCTAACGCGCGCCTCCTCTAATACAAAATTTTTGTTTGTTGTCATTCGTTTTTTATTTGCGCATAGTGGGAAACTCGAATTCCTTATTTTTTCGAAAAAACATTTCCATTATTTCAAGATTCCGGAATTTTCTTTTTCGACAAATCTCTCCTCGCGTTAAGTTTCGGGATTTTATTCCCCAAATTACTGCGCATACTCTCATATGGAATTAATCCGGATTATATTTTTTTTTAATTTGGAATTAACGACACTTGCAATTTTTTATTTTTACAGTTCCACATTATTCTTTATTTCGTTTGCAGTCTGAAATTCAAAATTTCATTTTTTTTTTTCGGATTTCTGTTGCTGGGGGCAGGGAGCCTGCCGAACTTGCAATTTCAATTTTATTTATTTTTTCAAAATTACTATTCAACAAAGTTCGAACTTTTCAATTTGATTAGCGACTTTTTATCTGGGTGATCAGTGTTCCCACCCACCCGATCCCTGTTGTCACACCTTCTCTACTTCTCTTCCTCCCACCTGTCCTTGCCTGCGGTATTGGTAAGTCGCCATATCAGCAGGTCACGTCAGTCTCCGACAGTGTATTCCAGTGCTCACCCGCTCACACACAAGCGGCATGGAGTAGTAGCAAGGCAATACACCCAAGGCATGCGAGGCCCACATGCTGACCATGATGGAGGAATACAAGCAACGGGCAGCAACGGCCACAACCGCGCGAAAGAAGAGGGACGAGGAGGTTAAGGAGCAGCGTCGCCTCGCTGAGCAGCAGCGACAGGAGGATGCCGACGCAGCAAGGAAGGCTGCAGACGAACACCGTCGACAATGCCAAGACCGGCTTTTTGAAAGGGAGGGGGACCTCGAGGTGATAGCCGGCGAATGGGCGGAGGCTGCCGACGAGGAGGACGCCCCTGCTGCTGTGCGAGGTATGGCAACAACATTTGATCATGTGACCGACTTGGTAACCACATGCACAGCACAACAAGAGGACATCCTCTGCGTGGATACCCTGGTCAAGAAGCAGGCTTAGCTCATCGCCAACCTGCTTGACCGGGTACGCTGGCTGGAACAGCAGCCTACAACAGCCACCATCGTCAGACCCTCCAACTTGGCAGATCGTGTCAACGTCTTGGAAGTTGACATCGGGAATCTCAAGGAAGGCACTCTCGCGACAAATCAGTGGATTGACCAGCAGATTTGCGCCACCTCAGCCGGTCCTACCGCGACATCGCACGAGAGCATCCCGAAGTCTAATGGCGTGCTACGGATCTTTTGCGACTCCACGACGACGGAACCGATACCTTGGTGGTGCCAGTTTGAACTAAAGCTGGACATCCACAAGGTTCGCGGAGCCAATTGACACACGTACTTATACTCCCGATCTGAGGGCGCATGCCAAGCATGGCTGGACAATATGTTATCCACGCACAACATCGCAGTCTCCGAGCTGCATATATAGATCAGTTGGGCTGATCTCAAGGCAGCATGGCACAAGCGCTTCCAAGTGGACCCACCCGAGCTTCAGGCAGCCGAGAAACTTCAAAGGCTCTATCAGAACAACCTGCCAAACGCGGATTGGATAACCGACTACCAACGCGTGGCGTCCACGCCCAACTTGCTGATGAACTTTATAGGCATCAAGCACTTTTTCATCACGAGGTGTTGTCTGGCGTTGCAAAACGCCTTGATGCAAGTTGCGGAGACGCTCACCACAAGTGAGCAGCTGTTTGATGAAGCCTCACAGATCATTGTGACGAACACCGAAGCCAAGAACTTGGCCCGTTTATCTCCTGCGAGCTAGGTCAGAGATCAGCATCGACCAAAAATGGTCGTGGTCATGGTCGTGGCGACAACGCCGACCGACCCTTCAAAAGAGGCCGGCTCTTCTGATGAAGGAGACGATTGGCAGCCGTCGGGGATGGTGGTCGCCCCGCCAAAGGTCGAGGGCGTGACAAATCGAAGACATACACCAATTCAGCCCCCGGAACCGGGCCTGGCAGGCCAGCAGCTCAAGAGCCTTAGATGCATTACGGTATCTGGGAAGGCGTCTACCGCATCCGTACCGAGTACCGATACTGTTTGTGGTGCAACAACGCAGTGCACGACACCACCAAGTGCCACACGCCAGTCAATGGCAAATTCCCTTTGGGAAAGTGAGCACCGTCGAGAGTGATGCGGCTGCACTCTCGACGCCTTCGAAACTGGTTGCTTCGCAAGCGACCTCTCTTCATTCCGAGGCACATGTGAAAGTCGACAATCCTCTATTATATTCTTTTGAGGACTACGTTGTCGGGCTCATTCCTTCGTTGGGTTCTCAATCTCAAGGACAAGATGTGTGTGTGGTTTGTTCTCCGTCCAGAAGCACCGACAATTTATCGTCTTCAAGTGGTTCTTCAAGGGATTCAACGCACGAGTTCAACATAGAGGTCTTGGACCCGTTGACATCCGAGGATTTTGCATGGCTTCCTCTCCCTTCCATAGGCTGCTTGCCGGGACCGCAATGCGCAACATCATGCGCCCATCTCCACACATACTTAGCCTTCTATGCACCACCATCTTCGCCGACGGATGATGAAGCTGTGGTGGGGGACATCCTTGTGTATGTTTGTCAAGGTGGCCTGCGAGTTTCACACAGAGTGGTATAACGCATCGCTCCTTTATGTCCACATCGAAGTTGGGCAAGTGTCCTACAACGCTTTGCTGGATAGCAGCGCGACTCACAATTTCATCACCCGGTCCTTTATCCAAATGGCCGGCCTTGGCACACAAGTTCGAAGGAAGCCAAGCCCGACGGTGATCAAGTTGGCAGACAGTCGGACGCAACAACTCCTTCGCTATATCGAAGCCGTGCAGGTTTATTTCATACCTCATGTATGCGAACCGGTGACGTTTGACATCTTGGACACGGACTTCGACATCATTTTGGGGACGTCTTGGCTTGCAAGTGCGGATCACACTGTCAACTTCCATCGGCGAACACTTACCGCTCGCGACGGCTTCGGTGCCGAGGAACCGTGTACCATTCCTCTTCCGCACTCTTCGATCTGGTGCCAAGTTGTAACGGCCAAGTCTTTTCGGGCCACTTGCGCTTACCTACAGACCAACGACATAGGCCTATGTACCTACAGACTTGTCTTTGGACCCCCGAGTGGTGCGATCACTCGACGAGTTCGCCGACATCTTCAAGTCTCCTACCGGTATGGTGCCAAATCGACCGATCTCCCATGAGACCATGCTTGAGGCCAGTGTCGTGTCGCTGAAAGGATGCATCTATCGCATGAGCGAGGAAGAGCTCGCGGTTCTCCACACGCAACTCGATGATCTCGATACGTCGCAAGATCGCTACAAATCCAAGTTCAAGACGTCGTACGGTGTCGGGACTGGTGAGTCCCGAATGACTTTCCGTCACTCAAGAGACTGTATATGACCAATTTGTGCACGACAGAGAAAACCGGAGGCAGGAATGCTGCAAAAAGCGGAAGCATGGGCACGGACAGCAGGAAGCCAGAGGCTGCCCAGAGTCGTCGGGGCCGCCAGACTAGAAATGGGTTGGCTAAGCAGAAAGCGGCAAAAGAACTGTGAGAGAATAGCAGGGGCGACTCCTTCCCTAAGGACGGAGAAGGGCCGCCGGGAAGTCGGTAGCAACATAGGAGGTGTGCAGCAAGGGAAAGGAAGGAAGTGGGAAGGGATAGGGCGCAAGGCACTGGCGCGACGTGGCGGCAGGAGGGCCAAGGGGACCGCAGGGTAGAAGGGAGCCGGCACCCGGAAATAGAATAGATTGCGGGACGCAATAGGAGCAGGGAGCAAAGATCGCTGAAGGCGGAAGGACTTCGGGAGTATCAAGGGAAGACGTGGTACAGGTGGGGCAAAGTGTCGGGGATCACGAGGGACCGAGGGACGGCATGGTACCAGCAGGACTAGGTGCAGGGGACCACGCGGGACGAGGGACGGCATGGTATCGGCAGGACAAAGTACCAGGAACCACGTAAGACCTAGAGATAGACGAGGCGTATGCGGACCAAAGTGTCGGGGACCACGTGGGCCTAGACAAGATGGCGGCACCGGCGGGACCACTAGTAGGGCGGGTATCAATACGATAAAGCGTCAGGAGCTGCGGACGGGGGCCGAAGGTCGGAACCACCGACGGGGTAGCCCGACAGAGGGACGCGCGCGAGCGGGTCGTCACCCGGGGTGACTAGGAGCGGTAAGAAAAGGAGGAGAAGTCGGGCGCTGACAGAAAATTGTCAACGGAATGGGGGGGGGGGCGATGGACATGTGACGGGAAAGATGGAGGGCACCTGGGGCGACCCAGGGGGATCCTGGATCCAATGCAACGACAACGATAAAAATAAAATAACATAACGTCAGGAGGACGGGACCATCCGGGCCTGAGGTCCGGATGAAAATGATGAGTACCGCCGCGACAAGCGCCGGCAGGGGGTGCCGAGGGAAAAAAGAGGAGGGGATAGTAGTAATGAGGGGGCCGGCCAGCAGTCCGAGTATCCCGGATCAGCCAGGCCGAGAAAAACGAAGTTCCGAGGGTTCCATGTGGAAAAAGGGTTGGCCGGAGAAAATCGGAGCAAGGGGGTCCCAAACGGGAAGCGGCGGCAGCAAAAAGGAGCCCCCTTTGGCCTTGGGGATGCCGCTACTGCAGTCCGAGGTGCAACGGCCAGGTACCGGCTACAAAAACGGACCTTGGGTGAAGTCCGACAGCCAGAAAGAGGAGAAATAGTTGTTGGACACTTGTCCCTACAACAATAAAAGAAGGAGGGAGAGAAAATGGGAGAAAAAGGGGGAGAATGAGACAAAGGAGGAGGAAGGAGTGGAGGAAAATGTGCCGCAAGGTTGGGACTGCAGCAGTAGGGATGGGCAGGTCCCAATGATGACCTCATCCCTCTCAGATCCTAGGAGTGCAGTCCGGATTGCAGAGATAAGGTCCTTGGGGCATTATCTCTGCAATATCTGAATTTAAGCAACAAAAATAAAGAAAAATGCTGATGTGAGTTGGCCGGCTCATTTTTGGGCCTTAGATCTGAGATCTGATCTTGCGGAGGAGGAGATCTAGCCGTTTTTTGTGGGCTGACACAAAACGGATAGCTCCGGAATGAGTTGGCAGCAAATTGGAGGGAAAACAAAGAGAGGAACAAGACAAAACTGCGAATTTGGCCCAAGGTTTGGGCCAGGTACATAAAAAAAAATAAAAATTGGGGCAAAGGACTCAAATTTGGAGCAAGGGGTGCTTGGAGTAACTCGGATTGATGAGAACCATAGATCTCAGCCAAATCCAAGGCTGAGATCTGTGCCGCCACTTGGGAAAATGCAACGGCCTGCTCACAAGAGGCCTAGACTACAAAAAAACGAAAAATGGGCCTCTAGGGCCTCAAATTTTGGTAAAGGCTGCATTTTGGGGTATTGGTACCCAAAAGGCAGCACTTTTTGAAAAGAAAAGAGGCCGGGGTAGGCCAAGGGGTAGTCTGAGAGGGTACCAGCCTCTCGGACTGCATGTACCTGGCCAAAATGAGGCCCAGGTACCTCCAGGTAGGCCAAAACTGGAAATTTGGCCCTTGGGGTACCTCGCTCCACCTAGAGGCACTTGGAGGGACCTAGAGGTTGGGCGGTGCACCTGTTCCAGCCTATATAAGCTGGAGGTGTAGGCCGCAACTCTCATTTGAGCATGAGAGGTGCCCATGCTGCCCAAATGAGTCCGTGAGTGAGTACTAGTGAGATAGAGCAAGGAAGTGGGAGCCGGAGCTAGCCTGTAACCTGGCTATGGTGGTAAGGCTGAGAAAGGTGACCTAGAGGCTAGGACGAAGCAAGGAGAGTGGTCCGCCATAGCCCTCAGGTTGTGGAGCAGGAGGAGAGGCTGAAAGGGGTCCCCATAGCCCTTCTAGAGGGAAGGACTCCACAGCCCTAGAAGTAGGAACCTGCCATAGCCAAAGGAAAGGTGTGAGGGAAGGAGGAGAGAGCTTGGGAGAGAGGAAAGTCATACTCAAGAGGCTAGGACCAAGCATTGGGACTCCACTGCCTAGAGATCAGCAAGAGGTGAGAGAAGGAGGAAGGAGGCCTCCTCCTTCTTCCTCCTCTTCTTCTTCTTCTTCTTCTTCTTCTTCTTCTTCGTCTTCTTCTTCTCCTTCTTCTTCTTCTTCCTCCTCTTCTCCTTCTTCTCTCCTTCTCCTTTCTTCCTTTTCTTCCCCTTCTTCTTCTCCTTCTTCTTCTTCCTCTTCTTCTCCCTTTCTTCTTTTTCTCCCTCTCCCTTTCCTTCCCCTCCCCCTCTTGTCAAAACTGCGATTTTCACTGATTTGGGTGCTTGGGTGAGTTGCGACTCACCTTGGCGTAGTTCCGTGATGTTTTCCCTTCATAGATTGCTTCAAACCTTGAGTTTTCACTGATTTGGGAGCTTGGGTAACTTGCGATTCACCTTGGGATAGTTCCATGATGTTTCCCCTTCATAGATTGCTTCAAACCTTGAGTTTTCACTGATCTGGGGGCTTGGGTAACTTGCGATTCGCCTTGGGATAGTTCCGTGATGTTTCCCCTTTATAGATTGCTTCAAACMTTGAGTTTTCACTGATTTGGGGGCTTGGGTAACTTGCGATTCACCTTGGGATAATTCCGTGATGTTTCCCCTTCATAGATTGCTTCAAACCTTGA